TATCGTCGCCCCATTGTAAGCTGACAATAATTATGAAACACATTGTCTCAAGAACGCAATTGTTTCAGCTTTCTCTCTCTCTCTCTCTCTCTCTCTCACATTCTCGAAAAAATTTCAAAGGTGACGCGACGAATACACGACAGTATCCTTGTCCTCGGATGAAAAAAAAGCACTCACCTTGTACTCTCGAATATATGCTCGATTCAAAAGATTCAATCGGACAATCGCGTGCAACGTCATTAAAATCGCGATTGCGCGAAGGAATACGAATGACCATGAAGAAGCATCGAGATTTAGCTCGCGCTTATACGCTATCCTATGCACCCTTGCAATATATGCGCTCTATTGTGTAAGCAGCTACTGAATAAATTAGCGACCAGACAGTTCGCCATGTTTCGCTAAGTAAATCGAATCACCGTGAATAGACTTAAATTTTGCAGCGAATTGCTGAATTCTCGATACGCGCTTACATAATTTTTGCTTTTAAATGTAAAAAAATGTAAAAGATGAAAAAAAAGAGAGAGAGCGAAAAGATATTATAATATTATAAAAAATATTTATAAAACCTCTTTCTACGAAAAAAATCGAAGATAAATACATAAATAAATAAAAATCAAGAACCGGCTCTATTCACATACGAAGAATTCCGCAAAAGGAACGATGCGTTTTGAAGCCCGATATATCCTAGGCGCTCAAAGGTTTATGTATTTGGCTTCAAAATTCGAAATATTGCAGATACGCGGCGCGCATTCGACGAAAGTATATGGCGTTTCGAGTATGCGAACGGTAGAAATGTTACTGCATGTTGTACGATATGTCAAGGTACGAGATACGAGCGAGTGAACCGAGCTTTCATAGAAGTTAAATAAATAGTCTAAGAGTCGAGGGCGATATAAACGGTGCCCTTGTCGAGATATACAAGTCACCTGGTTTAAGCATCTCGATAAATATTCGGGACACGCGCGCGGGCGCGTGTTCCGTAAATTTATCTTTCCTAAAAAGTAAGTTGTACATATATATATATATATATATATACATACATATATATTGCATTCCTAAAAAAAAAAGGTTAAAGAAACAGAATGTTTCGACGAACATATAAGAATGTACGTCATATGAAATCTTTATTCTGTAAGTAATAAAATCTAAAAAAATATTTACGAAAATATGTAGACACATTATTTCGCGCTTTTTACGTTTCTGTTTATCCGTGCAACTCATGTCACGTATTTCTCTCTGCCTCACGCTAATATAAATCGACATAAATGCGACAAGTATGTCAACACGCGACATGTTTATCAACGACTGCATTTGATATTTCGCGATGTATTTAATAAACTGCTTTGTCCCCGTTACTTTTTTTACAATATTATATTATATTGTCATTATCGTTATCATAAATTTTAATAAAAGTAATGTATGTCATAACATTTAATGTTATTTTTTACTAACGGGAGAGCAAGATTATGTATCGCAGACACAGACGTTGAAACAAAAATAGAATAATTCCCTTTCATCAGCTTTCTTTCCCGCAAACATATATTTAATTCAAATGTAGCATTATTACAATTATTCTAATCACATTTTACTAAAATGCAATTTTTACGAAAAAAAATCTTTCACATGTACCCATCTAAACGCAATGTACGCAATCACGACTATCTGGTGGATGATTTCCCGCGAGCAAAAATGCCCAAGAAACACATCCACTTTTGCGAGACGGTATTCCCGTGGTCGTGATAAATTCAAATAGCTGTGCCGGGATAGACCTTATTCTTCCACAGTCTCTGAAAAAGGGACACGATACACTTTGTATGCGCGTGACATGGCGTCTCTCTCAAATTCCAAAATCGCATCCATCCGGGAATAAATCCCGGTAAACGAGGGCATCAAGGGAAATACGTAATTTTCGTGCATGGCGGAATTTTACACGTGGTGTACTCATCAAACCATCTAGATATGTGTATTCAAGCGCGAAACACGTCAATATAAATACATACGAGAGGTGTTCCCAAAGAAAAATAATAATAATAATATTTATTGACAAAAGATGAAAATCTGACAATAAAACTTGGTAACGATATTTACGTAAAAAAAAAAAAGAGAAATTTACTTCAAATAGTTTAAAGAATTAATGAAATAAAAAAATCCAAATGTGATGAATGTGGTGACAAGTCTTTGCGCGAATTTACATCCTCAGACAATTCCCTTTGGAATACGAAGACGGATGATTTGCGATTATAATCACAGTACAGGAGACGCGCAGCTTTATCGGCGCAGCGTGCACATCTTTTCCAGGATAGATCGTATAAAACAACCGGCGGGGCAACAAGGGGGGAGCTTGCGAGGATATTTACGTTGGCGGGCCTTGAAGAGAGACCGCGCATCGGCTCACAGGTGGACTGGCCAACCATTACTTTACACACCGCACACACAACCTCGTGTCGGCCGGTGCGACCACACTCGCCGGTGAATATTTTACAAGAATCGCAAAAGTAACGGACCGCACCGCACCGGACCTCGAAGCTTTGAGCTTTATCGAACCGTGCGCCAGCAAAAAATTATGCATCGAGGTATGAGGAAAGCGCGAATTCTCCGATATTCTCTACGCGGATCCACTCACACGGCATGAATGAAGAGCCCCGTCACACGCATGACGCAGAATTACGTGCGCGCAGAGAGGGAACATATGTGCACGCGTAATTTCGTCTCAAAATCGCGAATATTTCGTTATTTTCTCGAAACCCGCCCCGCGAATGTTTCAACTGTATTTGAGATACTCGAGAAAATATTAAAGAGAATATTTACACTTATTATACTATGTACTTTAATTTTTCTATATTCTGGTTTTTTTTTATATTCTAAATAAAAATAAATAATTTTTATATTCTAAATAATTTGTAATATAAATATAATTAACGTTTTGCATCGAGGTATGAGGAAAGCGCGAATTCTCCGATATTCTCTACGCGGATCCACTCACACGGCATGAATGAAGAGCCCCGTCACACGCATGACGCAGAATTACGTGCGCGCAGAGAGGGAACATATGTGCACGCGTAATTTCGTCTCAAAATCGCGAATATTTCGTTATTTTCTCGAAACCCGCCCCGCGAATGTTTCAACTGTATTTGAGATACTCGAGAAAATATTAAAGAGAATATTTACACTTATTATACTATGTACTTTAATTTTTCTATATTCTGGTTTTTTTTTATATTCTAAATAAAAATAAATAACTTTTATATTCTAAATAATTTGTAATATAAATATAATTAACGTTTTACCTTAATTAAAGTTTTTAAATTGCCAATTTTTAGACAAAGTTATTTAAAACTGTCTGCGCACGAATAATTGCAACAAAAGTAGAGATAAAATAGAAGTTTGTGTGTGTGCGCGCGCTTTACTATTATTATTTATTTAACAGCGTGTTATATTGTTCTTATATATTATGGAAAAGTACGGATGTAGCATGTAGCGACTATGAAAACCTATTGTAAACTTATTGCATCTCTCGAAAAGATACGACGGAACAATATGAAATGCGGCTGTATAGATTGAATACAGGTTATCAACTAAAACCATTCGTGGCCATATACACGATCCTGTTTCTCGTTTAATATCAAGTCTGCATCGCGCACTGTTTCTGTTATCTATCTACGCAGGTAAATTCTATTTGCTATACTTTTTCCCGTTGCAACATTATATTTAAAAGTTTTACGCATCGATATAAATGCCTTATGTCCAATACAATCAGTCCCCCGCAATTTATACTTCATCGCTATAGATGTCGACTCACCTTACGTACCGTCACAAAGAACGCGCATAAAAAACGGAGTATCAAGCATTAATCATTACATTCATTACACAGGATATATCCTATATATTCCTAATTACGATTCTATGCTTCAATTAATTTTCGAAAATATCTCGAGAATGTCGACTGATCTGTTTACGATTAAAGGCTCGCATTATCTATGTTGTAACTATGTAAAATTTATTTTTGTCGCGAATAGTTGGGGACACGAGCCGAAGAGAATCGACGATGACGTAGCAAGTCAATTGGCAAGAAATGTTTTTACTGACGATCGCTCGCGTCCAGCGGCGTTATAATCAATTCATTTACGTAATCGCGTTAACACAATTTCTGTGGGATGTCCGTGAATATAATCAATACTTTGCGGGACTATCTTTAATAAAGAAGGAGTTAAAAATACAAGCTGCGGACACTGTCAGCTATCGCGCACGTTGCTGTAATCTTGACGACGTCGAACAAAACAATGTTCGGAAATCTTGGCCTCGATAGAATTTCAAGTTCAAACGATATATTCTAGAATTAAATTTAATTACACGCTTGATTATTTTCTAATATGAAATTCGAGAATATTTTCTAGCTAAGTTTCAAGATATATTGAAAAATAATAAAATTTGAAAATTAATAATCTTTCGGCTCGTTAAACATCCTAGATAAGTAAACTAGTGTCGAAAAGCTTTCGCTCTTTTTGAGATTTTCGTTTTTGGGACTTAAAGCATTTTTTAGATCCTGAATGTCGTGGCCTAGAACTACGAAACTATGCAAGGATGGAGTAGAAGAAACATTGTTTGCGAATAAATTAAAAAAGAACTATGTGATAAACATAGTTATCAAAATCCGGCAATGAAAATAAATTGATGATGCTGTATAAAATGAAAATAAATCGATGGTAAATTGATAATGCTGCATAATTGTTTATTTTTGATTGGCACAATATTCTTTAATATCATAATTTTGGTAGAAAAAATAAATAATAAAAAAATAACGCTTCTTTCGTGCAACACGTTTTTTTTTTTTTATATGGATGCATAAACTCGATCCTTTTTTCAATCTTCTTCGAAATTGTAAAAAAACGTAACGGTACGAAAACATTTCTGTGCCCCTTTTGCATAATTTCGCGTTTATGACCCTCCCGGAGGGAGAGAATCGATAGTGCTCCTAATAGGTCGAGAAAAACATTACATACCTGCTTGAAGCCGCGATACATGACTCGGATCTCCTGGCGGGAGAACTTGGTCTGTCGTAGAAGCTCCTCGATAGGCACCGGCCTGGTGGTCTGATGCCTCGCTCTCGTGCTCTCGAACTCGAAGAACGCCTCTTCCGGGCCTGGCGAGTCCGGTGGCGTCGCCATGACCTTTGATCCTGCCGCCGCCTAAATTGTCGAGAATCCAACAAGACGGCGAGCGGCGGCTCCTTTTCCCGCGCTTCCTATTCCTTCTATATCCAGTGTCCCGTGAGGTCACACCATCATCATCGTCGTCACGTTTCCCGTCACCATCGTGCGTTTTTCTTTATCGATCCGCCGCGCGTCTCACTTTACTTTTTTCTCTCGATCCCTGCACGTCTGTTGAAACGTCAAACTTTCTTTCTCTCACTCTTTCGAACGAAAAAAGATATCTCCCACGTGATCTCTTCGTATTAACAAACCGTACGCGTTCAGTTAGTAACGGGCATGTAAAGCGCGGTATTTTTAACGTTCTAATTACATACAATGTGTTTGTCGATTATATCAATATTCCCTCCAATCGAATAATTAGTTTCGTCTTTACAAACAGGTGACGAAGTTGTACCCAAGGAAAACGCGACTGCACGAGATTTGCACGAGAGAGATTCTCCTCTGAAATAATATACTCCATCTTTATGTTAAGAACATTTAAATTCTTTAATAAATAATGTAATCATTCTTTATATGCGAAAGAATTTTTACACTTGTTATTATATTTACAAATTGCTGCCGGTTAATATATTTGTGAAAATTTAACGTCGCTTTAACTTCGTTTAGCATGCCTTCGCGCGTGCATTTCGAATAGAAATTACTACCTTCGAAGTTATTTGGCGTGAAACTGAAAGTTTTCGAGAAAATCGATGTTAAAGAATAAAAACGGCAGGTGAAGTTCCGAAAAGTGCTCACCTCTGATTTTTTTGAAACTCAGTATTCTTACGTATTTTGATGCACTGATTACGAATATCATAATGAAAATTGGTGCATCTCTTATTTTCATAGTGAAAATCATGAAAAACCCATAACCAAATTTTCATTATCATATTTGTAATCAGCGTTCAAAAATACAAAAAATAGTGTAGTTTCAAAAAAATCGGAGGGTTCACCTATTCGGAACTTTATCCAAATTGTGTTATATTTTGCATTTACAGAATATTCTGAGAATTTTACAAAACCGAATATTAAAATGCATCGCAACGGTTTTGAAAAGAGAACTTACTTTGTGGTATTTGTTATTTACATCGGTAATGGAGCGCGATTTCTCGGCTTGGCATAAGTCCCATGTGGAAGAAAGACATTACGAATAAAAATGGACTCGGACGAGGGGTAAGGGCGGAGAAATCTGATAATATATATGCCGGCCTCTCTTCAAGTGCTTTCAAGTTCCTCGCGATCCTAAGGATAAACCCGCTCTCCCCCATTTGATAGTGGCGTGCATACGCGCTATTAATCACTATTAAGTAAGGACAAAAGCTGAAGCTGCATCTTAGATCTAGATTTCGGGGTCACTCCCGCGAAGAAGATTGTAAAAATAGCCCGGGATAAGACGAGTGAATATTGCTCGCATAAAAATCGATGACTTCGCAAAAGGTTACCGTGCCAAAACTTCAAAATCGATTCAGGGTGCGGTCGCTTGAAATTTATTGATAAAAGCCAGAAATGCATTTCTCTCGTAAAATTAACAGCATAAAAACCTCCAGATATATAGAGAACCTCTACTCTCTCTTTTTCCTTATCAGGCTGTTTCTTTCCCAGCGTAGAAAGAAGTTAAGAAATACGAGGAAAGAGAGAAGGAAACTTTTATATCAGATCTATTAAATTAATAAAATTAGCTTAGCAATTTTTCTTAGATATAAAAAAGATGTAAAAAATACGTATCTTTCTCTATATATGATTTATTTCTATTTAATTAAAAATTTTTTGGCATTATCTACAATTTTTTGGCATTATTCATAGTTTATGAGAACATTAATAAATCATTAGTAATACGAAATAATGTGGTTGGTAGTTGATATTAATGTAAAAGATAAAGTATAATAAAAGGATAATAATACTACTAACAAAACCGCCCCAAGTTTTGCGGTGCAATAACTTTTCTACGCAATATGCTGCTTTAATCAACGTTAATAGATACGGATTTTTAATGGAAAATGTTAAAGATTAATGTCAAAATATTTATATCGCGATGATCGAGTAGATATAATAACGCGGTATATGGGGTCAATAGGTGTATTGTATGGTGTATAAATAAAGCTCTTCGACGTACGTGTGCTTAAAAGCGCGGAAAGAATTGCAATGGTCAATTATGTAAATTAGCATTTGAGGAAAATGTTAAAAAATGTCACAAGAACGACAATACATTACATCAAAAGTAAAGTCTTTGGCATTCAAGAAACCTTTGAGTTTGTCTTTCGTCGCGTGTCGCAATTATTTCAATGCATTATATCTTATTAATTAAACCATTTTTGAAAATTTATATTCACAATTATAGTAATATTTAAAACAAATACATAATTATTTTATAAAAAAAAATTATGTAGTCCAATAAATTTTGGCCAAATGACTAGATTCCTTATCGCGGAAAGAAATTAAAATATGAAAAAAAATATTATAGATAATCACACGAATAATGAGATAATAATTTCATAATTTGAGTGTAAGATTTTACATATAAATTTTTTTTGTATATTCGACTATGCAAATTTGGAAGTAAACTTCCTTTTACTGGATTGTGACTACGAGATCAGTTTTTAGCAACCTGTTGTTATTTCCTATAGTTACGCGTCAATTGCTCAATGTCAACTCTCTGAATCGTGAATTCTCTCTTTCTCTTTTCAAAATTATGCAAAATATTTTTTCGAGATTTTCTCAGACGAGATTTGCATTTCAAAGTCACCTGCTTCAATTATCATAATATAACAGACGCTAAGCTGAGCTTCTGTAGAAAAACAGAAGGGATTCTACCTTACATTTTCTGACGTAACGTATAGTATAGCTTCTCGCCTAAAACTGAACATTGCAGTTTGATTAATGGATATTGAGTTACTCCGAGCAAGAAAAGAGTATCTATTATGAAACCTATAATGGGATATTATCAGAGAGAAATCTCTCGCGCGCGCGTTAGATGTTGTAGAGTACATTTAAAAATTTAATTAATTTACAATTTAATTTAAAATTTATCTACCACTGATCTTTTTCTTGTTACTGTCGCTATCATTAAAAAAAAATCACTATTAATATTAATATTAATGAGATTTAAAATTTTAAAATTTTAGACAAGCTTTCCAAAAAGACAAGGGATATTTCCCATATCGCGATAACGCCATTTCAATAAAAGATAAAGATTGCATATTTAAAAATTGTCACCTGTTAACGAAGGGGATGCGTTAGCGATACAATATTACGATAACGAACCACGGCGAGCCCGCGGACGACTTCTTATCGGTCCACAGCAGCTGGGGAAAAGGGGATACTGGAAACGCGAGCGTGTCCTATCGCGAATCTTCGGTTCGGTCAACGCGCGAGGATCGCGGCGACGGTCCCGGGAGCGAGAGGCAGCAGCGGCTCGCACGCGGCTGCATCAGCGGCAGCGGCGGCGGCGATGATGATTGTCGTCGATTCGAGCAGGTGAATCACTCGGCGACCCGGTTGACGACCCGCCCGCCGTCGAGCGGGGAAACGGCGCGGCGACGAGACACGAGGATGTCAACTCGCCGATCTCCATAACATGATCTCGTCGCGCTTTGTATCGTTCGCGCCGATCCTTAACGACGACGCTTACCGATCATTGTCCGATGCGAAAGAGAGGAGAGATACGAGGAGAAAAAAAGAGAACGAGAATGAACGACAGCGAAGATATCTGAAAATCTCGCGATGCACTACCGGTGTCCGCCCGCGGAGGGTTGAAAAATCTTACGGACGCGAGCCCGACGATAGAAACAATCCGAACAGATACGCGACCGGCGGTACACTGGTCGCCCGGATAGAGCGCGCCTAGACGGCACTAGCGCCCCTCATTGGCCGAGCGCTTCGGCCAATCGCGACTCAGCGGCGGCGACGGCGGCGGCGGCGCGTCAAACTACCGCGGCGGCCGACTACCATAGATGATAAAAAGTATAGATTACCTCTATCTAATCTATAATTTATATTACAGCTATCTCTTTTCGAGCTACTTGGAGCTCGCTATCCTTTTCTAATGGGCGATGCGCCGAAAGCCGTTGCTTTGAATGCTAACTCGACACTTATCAACGCATATCAATACACACTCACGACACATACGATCGGAAAGACATAGCTAATTACAATCACACGAAAAACGGGCTAATTATTACGATCTGGCCTCACTTTCCGGCCGATGCACTACCGTTGCTACTTTGTCGTCTGTTTCCTTGTTACTTATTCACTCGCGAATCGAATCGAATTAATGCAATATAATAACCGCCCGTCACGATAATACTTTCGATGCTCATTGCACTCGCGATATATTTGCGATCGAACGGATAAATCACGCGAAACACGACGATCGCTCGTTGCATCGCGCGACATGCTCGACTTCCATTACGTGTTACGTGCGACTTGATATTTGATTTTCCTGCGAAACATTTGAATTACGTGCAATTTCACGGCGCTGCCTGATAGGTGGATTGTATAGTGACGTCTAGTTTCACTCGATTTTCAAAACGAGAAATGTCAACCGTGAACGATCCCGTATACGTCGAGATTTTTTATATTATATATATTATTATTATTATTATATTCTTTTTTGTTACAAT